CCCACCCAGTAATAGTGACTATACGAGATAATAGGGAATATATTAGGGTCCTCTTCTATTCCTATCATACCACTATTACAGGGTGGGGGGTCCTCCTAACCTATACCATATAGTATGTTCCCTTATTCCCGTTGGGTGGGTTTGGGGGTTTAGGCGTGCTTAGGGGGTTTTGTGCGTTTAGAGTTTTGTCTCAGTTTAGGGTTTAGGGTGGGGTCCCGGATGTGTCGTAACTATGTGGCTGGTGGGGAAATGTCACGGAGGTTCATAGGTTTTCAACAAGTTACAACTTCAAAGTTTTTAAAAGGTTTCAGGTTGTAATGGGTCCCTTTGGTCAAGTCTTTGGGGTTGGCGGTCAATGACAAGGGTATTCCCTGACGCCTTGCAGGACCGTATCCTCCAACTCCTTTCAGAGTCCAAGGGCAACATTCTTGATGATGAGGACCTGCTTTTTGCTTCATGTGGTGAGCAATTGTTTATGGATTGGCTGAAGTCTTATCCATGAGCCGCACAGGCGACTGCACACACTACAGCTCCGTACAGCTCCAATGGTTTCTTTGGCAACCTGCTTGCCGCGAGGAGCTGATAAATACACTGGCAACGTCGAAGACTGTGCAATCCTCGGCCACGTTCTCTTGCAAGCTGCTAAGAGTTTACCGCAACATCCATTTGTAAGAAGTGTCGGCTTGACTTCACACCTTGCGGAGCTTCAGAACATCGGATGGTAATGTCCCCCAGCTTTTGCCAGGCTTCCCTTCGCATTGAAGAACGTGTTGCCGAGCAGGACTGGGGTTTGATAGCAGTCGATAGTGATCTTCCATTGTGGGATGGTAGTCTGCAATGCAGCTTGGAGATTTCCGAGTTTACATGGCCCTGTGCTGCAGGAAAAGACCCAGGCACAAGTGCAGGAGACGAGGGCAACGTATGCCTGAAGCTCAGCACGAGAACTCCAACTGCAAACCTCGAACCAAAACATGCTTGTTGAACCCAAGCAATTGCAAGCTTTGTAGTGCCACCTCACGATAGCTCAGAGCCGAGACTTGCATTTTGTTGTTAAGGTACCTGTTGCTGTTCGTGCAGCTTGGCAAGCACTGCTGGCTGCACCATGGACCGTCGAATGTGTGAGACCTGCACGGATACTTGTGATCACGGGGGTTCTTTCGCAGTAACATGAGATGTTACTTTCCCGCACACTGGATGAGGCAAGTGCACTTTTCTTCGTGATCGCAGATCTCTGCAATGCGACTGGCTCAAGACGCGACAGTCAAATATTCCCAGATTTGCGTGTGTTTTCGATACCAAGAATCAGCACAGTCCACACCAAGATTCTGCACGGCCATGAGCGGAAGAATGTTCGGCGCGACTCAGGTGGAGCCAATGTACCAGTACAGCCTCGAATGGTGCCTGCCTCAAGCGCCATTTCAAGACCTCGCCTTGCCGGACTGCATGTGCAGCCGGACATGTTAAGAAAACATCAATTTACTTGTTACCACCCTCGCACTTCACTCCGGGAATCTCTAAGGTTCTACACCATCTATGAACAAGCCATTGCAGCTTGAATGCAAGAAGCAACCAGGTTTTTGTGCTGAAAGACTCAGTGGAAACATGTGGCACTGAATTCCGCTATGACGGATGCAATTGAGCATCAACATGTAGGGGTGCGAAACTTGGTTACACTTCGACTTTCCCCCTGATTGTGGCAAACATTCCCAGCACTCTGAGCTCAGCAGAGGCCGCGGCTGAGAGATTCGAAAGGAACATCCAGAAACGCCTGGCTGCCTTGCAGTCCAAGTTCCTGGAGATGCTTTTTGATCCTTATCATCTTTAGCGCCCTCAAGTTTTGTGCTCCTTATGGGATCTGCTTTCCAGTAGTACCGAATGTGTGGGGCTAGGATTAGGATTCCCGGCAATCGAGTTCAGCTTGAGGAGGTGCGGGCTGACGATAAGTGCACTTGCTGCCAAGGAACAGACGTGCCACTCTCTCTTTGAGAAGGACAGGGGGTCAGTCTGCAAGCATGTGGCTAGTGGCTACTTAGTTAATCACCTTCGTTAGCATGAAGGACCAAAATCTGATATGCGCAAAAGCAGTGCGTTGACAAACATGTTGATCGCAATTAGAAGTAGCAGTCATAGATACAGAAGCCCCTCAAAGGTGGACGTCTGCAGTGAGCGGCAGAGAGGAATTGCAACCGGCAGCAAAATGTAGCATGAACTTGTTCGGAATTCTTGGGTTTTCTGGAGTTTGCCGCAGCTTCGGGTGTGGTTTCCAGCTATCATTGTTTCTCTGCGCCTATGAGGCTTGCTAAGGCCGAGGCTAACAAGGGTTGTATGTTTTAAGACATGTCTAGGCTTTTGCGCGGATAGCACCCAACCCTGGAGGACAAGCTGATGCTCTCTCTGCTTCTTTGCTTCAAGTCCATGGAGGTGGTGTTTGGGAAGGACTGTAGAGAGCTGGTAAGTCTACCCTGTACCAACCTGTGCAGGTTGATGACGACATCAACCTTGAAGAGAAGCATTGCTGGCATGATTTGTCCATGTGTTGATGCTATGGTCACATGTGACCTGTTGCCTCCACACCTGGGAATGCCTGACCAGGCGGCTGCTGCTCATGGCTCTGGGTGGTGGAACTGCTCATCTGCCAAAGCCAGAATCAGCAGAGTGGCTGACAGAGAAGATGTGGAGCAGGAAATCACAGGGGTGCAACCACCTCACCGCCATGAGTGTTCCTGTCTGTGCGCATCATGAATGCCTGCCATCTTTCCGCAGGATCTGCGTTCTGGACAAAGTGGGCAAGGGTCCATGGTACAAGTTTGCCACTTCATTCCAGGCCATCCGTAGGCAGTGTGACGTCAGCCATGCTCATCGGTGAAACAGTCTGGGTGGGAAGACAAGCATAGCAACGCTGCTGAGCAATCTCGGAGCCATCATTCCAGTAGTCACGGGGCATTTGTCTGAACATGTCTAAACCATTTGAAAGCTTGAAAAGGATAACATCGAAAAGTGGAAGGGCCTCTTTGACTCCGACAACCCTGCCCCTCGATGGCATGTACTGGTATCATGAAAGCTTTCATTGGATGGAGCTGTGCAGATCGAGTTGCTCTGGCGGGCATGCGTGCAGATATGCGGCTAGTGGATGCTGGTAGACTAGCGGTACCATGTGGTAGCGTATTCCATTTTTTCAGCAGCTTCGGATTAACAAATCACTTGGAGAGTCCAGCCTAGGTGGCTTACAACTGGCCTGGCAAGGCTGGGCCCTAAACAAGCGCGTGCTAAAACACGGCAAGTCCAAATCCTAGCAATCTTGTTTGTCATGCCGCGGGTGGTGAAGAACAGTACCTACAGATCAAGCAGACTATGCGCAGTGATGCGCTGCTGTGTGAGGAGCAGATGTCAGCGCTGCAGAGGGCACTCGTCTTGCTGGCTGTCCCTCGATCTATCATCCAAACGCGAAATCTTTGGATTGGTACTGGGAGTTTGCAACGTAGATCAAGCTAGTGCCTTCCATGCGCTTTGCAATGGGAAGTCGTCCGGAAACAAGGTGCGCACGGATTGCACCATCGCGGGTCTTCAGGAGGCCTCTTGCCGTTCGTCCCCTCCTTTTCTTCTTGCCTGGGATATGAATCGGTTATCATTCCCTGTCTACTTCACACAAGGGAAGCCGCGGCCATGAGCTTGTTCATTCAGCCTCACTAGACACCTGCTGATTTGCAGGTGATTGCTGCCAATTTGGGGAAGAGCTTCCTTGAACCACCCGGCTTCAACCTGGAGAAGCGGCTGGACCCATTTAACCGTAACGCAGGCACATTTCGACGTGAAGATATGCTGCTGTTGACTTGGATACCTAGAGATTGCAGAGCAATGGTGCCGGGATCGTAGAGGTTCGTCTCGTAGGGTGTCTCAACACTTTCGGCTCCCTCGAGTCCTTTGCCACTCAGGTCATTCCACACGAGCAATGCCTGCAAACCTCTCATCTTCGTCTTGTCCTCCGGAGCCGATCCAATGGTCTCCCTGGCTTGACTCTTCAATTGTGGATTCAGGTTACTGGAGCCTGAAAGAGGGAAAGTTGGGATGAAATAGAACCAAGAAGGACTGCACAATTTTTGGGAAAAAACATTCTCATTGGGCTCAGCCGCCAAAACGCTACTCGGATGAGCTATTGTCAACAGTATGGGCTGCGGTGGAATATCGGAGGTGGACTCCTTGCGAAAAATGTAGATGGCATCGTCAAAATAGGCCACCGCTTAATTTCAGCAATTATGGAACGTACTGTTTGTAGATGAGGTGTGCGCTTCTCAAAATAAGTATCCTTTGCATAATCAATCCCGACCCTGCGTCCAAAAAAAAGCTGACGGCCAGAGCTTCTGCCGGACCATTCTGTTTGCAATCCCTGCGTGAACGACATCTAGAACCTTTGAGGGGGCCCTTGCGCAAGGAATGGTAAGATTTTTGGATATACCCTTGGGACCCCTCCTTCCTGGAAGCTGGAACCATAGGTTGATGATGAATGGGCTTCGCTGCCCCATGCCAGGTAGAAGTCATCCGCTTGGCGCAGAAGGTTGGCATGAACGAGCGGTACACGACTGCCAGAGCCTTGCCATGTTGGGGAAGTTGTTCGACTGTATAGGGCCGTATGGAAATTAGATAATGACACATGAATTAGTGATATTAGGGTTTCTCAAAGTCATGTGTGGCAAGAAAGGGGTTACACGTAGCAATTACCATAGTCGCGACCCAACTCCACATGATCAACCGTGACTTCCCAAACGTGGACAATTCTGTGGGTCGTTTCCGGGTGCATTTTTTCGGAAGGATCATCTTGAAGCTGACTTTCAAACATCTTGGATTCTCGAGGTGTGGTTTGGTGAGTGCCCCATCACGTGTAGACTTTCCATAGGTGCAAATATTGAAAACGCTGATAACGCCAGCATTCCCCTCACTTATCAAACCCAACAGCTGCTATCCCACTGATCCTTAAACATCCCAATATAAAATTGCTTCACAAGCCTCATAATGGGATCTGCGCCACAAAGCTCCGTGAATCTCCAGGTCTCGCTTGGACAAGGCCAGGGCCCGAAGGCAACGTGCTCAGGAAAAATTGGCTCAGCAGCTGCACTGGCCGGTCGAAGCAGACGTAGTGGTAGTCCTTGCTATTTCAGATTCAGGGTCTAAGGTCAGGTTATGGAGTTGCAATGCTGTGACACGTGTTGGATGAGAGGTGGCTGTATGAAATCCTGGGCCACTTAGGACTTAGGATCCCCGGAAGAATTATTGCTTTTCCAGGGTAAAGGCTACAGGAAGTGGTATAAGAGTTCTTCCATACACAGTGACAGAGGTCATCCCTGTAAACTAGGGATTTTGAGGAGGGGAATTTTGGAAAATCCAGATTTTGATTGAGCGTATAGTGCTGTTGCCGAGAAATGTCGAGAAAGGATTACCTTAAACCTAGCTACATCATGCTACATCTAGTGTAATCTCTTTAAAGCCCTGAACCGCTTAAAGTCGCCACAAGCTCATACAGAATTCCCATTGCACGAATCATAGTATCTTGTTACTTCTTCTACTATGTTGTCACAGTCTGTATGTTATGACATGACATGAACATATATTATCATTTGTTATAATGCATATTGTAGTAGGTGATGGCATACCATGGTTCAGCTCTTTCCTCGAATGCTCAAGATTGAGTAGGGCTTGTGGCCTCAAAGCAAGATCTGATGATGGCCTTGTTCTGCTTCGCGTTTAAGGTTTAGGGTTGTTTCAACATTTTCTGGCTACATTGTTGTATACCTGAACACTAAATGGCATACAGTGATTTTAATGCCTAAGCTCAGGGGGTCTTCGGAAGGACCCCCCGGAAAAAATATAAACACAAACAACAAATCAGTACGTTAGGTAACATTGATATATTTCCTTATAGGCCCACCTCCCTGGTAGCCAAGTAAATTACACCCGCCCCCTCCCCTCCCCCCCCCCTTCCCCCTCCCT